TAACACAGAATGTTAATTGACTAAATTCACCCATCAAAAGACACTGAATGACAAACTAGATTAAAAAGGAAGACCCAACAATCTGTTGCCTACAGGAGACCCACCTCATTGACAGAAATGAGCACTAGCTGAGAGTGAAAGGCTGGAAGAAGATTTACCTAGCCAATTGTCCCTGAAAACATGTAGGAGTAGCAAAACTTATCTCAGATAAAGTAGACTTCAAACCTACTTTGATCAAATGAGATAAAGAAGGACAACCATACTAATAAAAGGGAAAATACACCAAAAATAAATAACAATTAACAACCTATATGCACCCAAAGTCAATGCACCCAATTTCACCAATCATACTCTGAAGGGCCTAAAAGCATATAGAGACTCCAACACAGTGGCAGTGGGAGACCTTAATACCCCCTTATTACCAATAGATAGGTCATCCAAACAAAAAATCATTAAAGAAATCCTAGAACTAAATCACACCATAGACCAAATAGACCAAGCTGATGTCTACAGAATATTTCATCCAACTTCTGCACAATATACATTCTTCTCAGCAGCCCATGGAATCTTTTGCAAAATTGATATCTTAGGGCACCAAGCAAGCCTTAGAAAATATAAGAAAATAGAAGTAATCCCATGCATTCTGTCTGACCACAATGCATTAAAACTAGAAAACAACAAAAACAGCAGTAAAACACGCAAATAATTGGAAGCTGAACAACACATTACTCAACAATTAATGGGTCACTGATGAAATAAAATAGGAAATTAAAAGACTCATGGAAGTTAATGAAAATGAAAACATGCCCTACTGGAACTTATGGGACATAGCAAAGACATTCCTAAAAGGAAAGTGTATAGCCATGAGAGCATATATCAAAAGGACAGAAAGATCTCAAATCAGTAACCTAACAGTACAGCTGAAACTCCTAGAAAAACAAGAACAAACAAACACTAAAACAAGCAGAAGGGAAGAAATAATTAAGATATGGGCTGAAATCAATGAAATAGAAACAAAAAAATACAAAGAATCAATGAAACAAAAATCTGGTTCTTTGAAAAAATAAATAAGAATGACAGACCCCTGGCAAACCAAATTAAAATGAGGAGAGAAAAAAACAAAATCAATAAAATCAGAAATTCAAAAGGAGTAATAACAACAAACACCACAGAAATCCAGGAAATCATCAGAGACTACTTTGAGAGCCTATAATCTTTTTTTTTTTTTGCTCTTAAGTTTTATTCAGGATAGAGGGTAAAGACACTGTTGAGATTTAACTCATTATGGTTCTACAACTGCATCTTCCTGAGATTTCTGGTGACCATTGTAGTATTCATGCATTCTGGTTACAAGTTGGTTAGTGTTTTGGAAATTCTACTTTCCTTTTATGAGAAACTCACGTATATGTGTCAACACTCTGCCCCTCTGCTTTTGATATCACTTTTATACATGTTTGTGCATGTCACCTGTACTCTGTTAGCCCAGAGCACTCACAACTCATTGATACCCTTAGCATTCTGAGATGTGTCACTCATGTCCATATCTACTTGTCTCCTTCCAGGCATGCCATTCTTTCTTTTGTTATTTTATTGTTTTATTATTCATATGTGGATACAACACTTGGGTCATTTCTCCCCCCTGCCACCATCCCCTCTTTTACCACCCACTCTGCCACCTCCCTCTTCCCCCCACCCCCTCAATACCCAGCAGAAACTATTTTGCCCTTATCTCTAATTTTGTTGAAGAGAGAGTATAAGTAATAATAGGAAGGACCATGGGTTTTTGCTGGTTGAGATAAGGATAGCTATAAAGGGAGCTGACTCACATTAATTTCCTGTGAATGTGTGTTACCTTCTAGGTTAATTCTTTTTGATCTAACCTTTTCTCTAGTTCCTGGTCCCCTTCTCTTATTGGCCTCAGTTGCTTTTAAGGTATCTGCTTTAGTTTCTCTGCATTAAGGGCAACAAATGCTAGCTAATTTTTAGGTGTCTTATCTATCCTCACTTCTACCTTGTGTGCTCTCGCTTTTATCATGTGCTCAAAGTCCAATCCCATTGTTGTGTTTGCCCTTGATCTAATGTCTGCATATGAGGGAGAACATACAATTTAAATTATAAGTAAATTATGCATAAAAGGATCTTACTTCAACATAATAAAAACTATTCATGACAAATACACAGCTAAGCAGAAAGCTGAAATCATTATCTTTTAATTTTTCAAATAAGACAAGAGTGCACTGCAATGGTTTCAATAAGGGCTCCTTCAAGGACCAAATCTTGAAGTATTGTTCTCCATCCCTAGGCACTATTGGTGTGCATACCATCTTAAAGATTTGGAGACTCCTTAGAGGTCTTTTAGTCATTAGCAGAATGATTTGTGAGAATATTGAGATTTCAACCTATTCTTCTTCCTGTCACATCAGAAACATGAGATAAGCAGATTTTCTATGTGCTTCAACCAGGATGCACTGCCTCATTACAGACTAAATGCAACAAGGTCAACTAATAACAGACAAAAGCCCCCCAGTCAGCCAAGTAATATTTTTAATAATCTGGTTATACCAGACAATTTTCACCATAACAGAAACCTGATTAACATACATACTCTTCCCACTCTCAATCAATACACTACAAGAAGTTTTAGCGAGGTTAGTCATTAAATAGTAATAATAAAAAGGCAATTGAATATGAAGGGAAAAACAAATTATTTATGTTTGTAAATTATATGATTCTATATAGAAAAAAATCTAAATTGTCCATGAAAATATTTTTACAAATGACAAATTCAGTAATGATTTGGGATGTAGAAGCAACAGAAGACCACAAAACTGATTTACTTAAACTTATAAAATTATAAATTTGTATATAATGAGTCTATATGGTAAAAAATATGCTTATAAACACACAAAAATATCCTTACATATAAACAGTCTTAAAATAAACATTAGCATGCGTGCACTACAGTATGAAATAATGGTATAAATCTGACCAATTGATCTGCATAGTTGGACATTCTGTATGTAATTCAATTATAAATCACTTAGTGATTTGTAATGAATTAGCAGCTTAATTAAAAATGTAGATGTCTTTGCATGCATATATGGAATTATAACAATGAAATATCTTTGTATTTTTAATGTATCCTAGTTCAAAAATAAATAAAATTACCTAAAAATAACTGTACAGTATAACCTACAAATGTTGAAGAACAATTTCACCTCACACTGTTTTTGAAGGACTCTATTGAAATGCCAAGAATATTGAAAAAAATGTTTATGAAATTTAAAGCAGGTTTCATGGCCCTGTCTATATTTTTGTATTCATAACTGATAACAAAACTAGTTTAAGACTCTTCCATTCAAATTGTATTAAAAATTTATCTTCAGTGTACTTCAATGATAGTGAAGAAAACAAAACTGCTAAGTATTTGCCTTTTTAGCATATCTTAGTTAATATTTATAATCAATCACATTAGTATACCCACATATATAACACAGGTGTTATCATCTAAAAGGAAATCAATCTTCCTGATATCAAACATCCAGAGTTTCCTTTGTTAATAACATAAAGTGAAAAATGGGATTCATTAATGAGTTTTGTGTTGTGGATTCGAGTACCATGTAAAGGAAATGAGCAGAAACAATGGAGAGAAGTGAATGATGCAAGTCTGTTCTCGGGGGTCAGGAAATTATCTGTACTGTATTACTCCCTTCTTTAAGGATAGTCTTTAGGATACACACTATACTGGGATCAAATTGATAGTAAAATTACTGTTTTAATGAGGAGCTTTGGATATTAAGACCCCAGAGAAGTAGAGACCATAGGAGCTGTCATGTATTCTCACACAAATGCTCTGCTCCAGTCATGAAATAATACCTGAGCCTCCACCAAGTAATGATCCTTTTGAGCATGAAATCAGTAAGTCATTCAGTCTTCCTGCCCTTCCTGAACATAGATCTTCCATGTTCAATATCCAGAAGACATGGTGAATATCATTTGCCTTGAAGTATACCAGGTAACACAATGTCCTTTGTAAATGTTGCAGGAAGGAGGAAGGTATGTTTTAGAATTTCTTCCTGAGAATCAGTGAGGAGAGTAAGGAACAAAGCAGAGAAAAATATGAGAAACAGCATCCCCTGCTTCTCCTGTCAACTATCTGTCACCTTCTTGCTCTTGATAGGTCCCCGTAGTTTTTTCCCCAATGCTGAACCAGACTCGTGCTGCTCATCTCGTACTCTATCCAAGAAGAAGCCCCATTTTAAACATTTTTATTTGCACATATTGGTTATGCAGGGGTGTTTCATTGCCACGTTTCCATATATCCATCCAGTTTACCTTCATTACATTCATCCCCACCAGCATACATTCTCAACCTTTACCCTACTTCAAAGACTTTCAAAAGATTTTATTGTTCAATTGTCATATAAGAATACAAAGTACATTGAACATATTTATTCTCTTTCACCCTGTCTGTTCATTATCTCACTCACACATGTACTCACCTCCTACCAGGAACAGTGTTACATTCTTTTCCATCAATTTTTAAGTATGTTCATTGTTCAAAGGGGTTTCAGCATTGTATTTTATTCTTAATTCAGATTAGTATCTTTTGTTACTCTTCCTTACCCATTCCTACCTAACTCCTATTATTCAGAAATTTTCAGTGTGTTTCACAATGAAGGCCCATTTTTAAGAGCAGAAATTTGTCCATTCTCAAACAAGATTACTATTACAAAATATGCTGAAGTATGCTTCCATTCTTCTAGATTATTGGTGAGGCTGTTTTTTGAGTATTAAATAATAGGACTGCCATAACTCAGTATCAGAGTCTGGGTGAGCAAACAAAACAATTCACTTCTTCACAGTTTTGGAGAATAGCAGTCTAAAGATAAATGTATCCACAAGGATGTTTGTCTAACAGGTTCCCAAGTGATGATGCTGGTGGATAAATACATTTTGTCATTGTTTTACCCAAATTTTCCATCAGATCTTTCAGCATCATGGAAGCAAAAAACCGAACTGTTATTTCAGAATTTCTTCTTCTGGGATTGAGTAATGATTTAGAACTGAAGCCTCTCATCTTCAGCATCTTCCTGTCCATGTACCTGGTCACCATGTTGGGAAACCTGATAATTATTCTGACCATCAGCTATTACTCCCACCTCCACACACCTATGTATTTCTTTCTTTCTAACCTATCTGCTAATGATATTTGTTTCAGCACAAGTACAATCACAAAGATGCTGCTGAATATTCAAAAGCAGGATCAGAACATCTCTTACATAGGCTGCATCAGCCAGGTCTGCTTTGTTTCAGTTTTTGGTGGTATGGAATATTGTCTCATTGCAGTGATGGCCTATGTTTGCTATGTGGCCATTTGTCACCCCCTGAGGTACATAATTATCATGAACCTCTGTCTCTGTGTCATGCCAGTTCTGATCTCTCTGTTCATTAGCACTGCAGTTGCTCTGCTGCACAGTCTGATGGTTTTGCGGTTGTCCTTCTGCACAGAACCAAAAATCCCCCACTTCTTCTGTGAACTTGGTCAGATCAAACTCTCATATTCTGATCCTCTGATCAATAACCTCCTGATATTTGTTACAGTTTGTGTATTTGGTGGTGTTCCTGTCACTGGAATAATTTTCTCTTATGTTAACATTGTTTTCTCTCTTCTGAGAATGCCATCATCAATAGGAAAGCATAAAGCCTTTTCAACCTGTGGGTCTCACCTGTCTGTTGTATCCTTGTTTTATGGGACAGGTTTTGGGGTTTACATTAGCTCTGCAGTTACTGACTCATCCTGGAAGTCTGCAGTGGCTTCAGTGATGTATTCTGTAGTCCCCCAAATTCTTAACCCCTTTATCTACAGCCTGAGAAACAAGGAAATGAAGGAAGCTCTGAGGAAACTTATCAGCATGACAACTTCTGTGATGTATCAATTGTTATGGGCTTGGGTTTCTAGAGTAAGTCTGTTTGAAATATGCCAGAATGTGAGACACTTCTGCCATTGTATTCTTCCAAAATGACTGAATAATGTATTTTCCAGGTGCATTTTAGTTATGGATTTGACAGTTTCATGCTTTGTTCTGTAACATGTTACACACAATTCTATCCTCTTAATTTAGTTCCTTTACATGGAATCTAGAGAAGCCTGAAAGACCAAAATCTTAACATACCTTTAGGCACACTCACAGAAGAATATAAGTTGGAGAAGGCAACTAGAGCAGTGATAATATTTAAATAAAGATCATCATAGCTAGAGAATAACTTCTACCTGATCATGTGGCTAAGGCTGTCAGAATCTCATCCAAGAATAATATCTAATGAGAAAGAAGAGGGGGGAATCATAGCCTGTCAGCTATCATTAGACTTATTACTGGTTAACAAAGTCCTTCAGAGGGAATCATAACCTTCTTCATATTTAGGAGTGATTAAATGACATTAGAGTTTTGAGATATTTGAATGATACTGGAAGTTGATCAATAAAGATTCCCTAAGTATTAATGAGGAAAATGAACTCTTACATTAATTGGTACTCACCAATAAAGACAATTGCTTTATAAAAACAGGATGGTACTGGCACAAAAATAGACATGAAGTCCAGTGGAACAGAATAGAGGACCTGGATATGAATCCACACAACTATATCCACCTCATTTTTTACAAAGGTGCCAAAAATATATGATGGAAAAAAGACAGCATCTTTAACAAATGTTGCTGGGAAAAGTGGTTATCCATCTGCAAGAAACTGAAACTAGATCCATGTCTATCACCCTGTACTAGTATTAACTCAAAAATGGATTAAGGACCTAAATATCAGACCTAAGATTCTGAAGTTACTACAGTAAGGAGCAGGAAACACTCTGGAAGTAATACGTATAGGCAAATACTTCCTCAATAGAATGCCAGAAGCCCAGCAACTAAGAGAAAGGATGAATAAATGGGACTTTATAAAATTAAAAAGCTTCTGCACATCAAAAGAAATGGTCTCTAAACTGAAGAGACCACCCACAGAGTGGGAGAAAATATTTGCCAGCTATACATCAGACAAGGGACTGATAACCAGAATATACAGGGAACATAAGAAACTAAACACTCCTAAAATCAATGAACCAATTAAGAAATGGGCAACTAAACTAAATAGAACTTTCTCAAAAGAAGAAATTCAATTAGCCATAAAACACACAAAAAATGCTCACAATCTGTAGCCATAAAGGGAGTGCAAATCAAGACTTCAATAAAATTCTACCTCACCCCTGTTAGAATACCATCACTGCAAACACCAACAACAACAGGTGTTGGTGAGGATGTGGGGAAAAAAGAACCCTACTCCACTGCTGGTGGGAAAGCAAGTTGGTGCAACCACTCTGGAAAAAAAATTTGGAGACTTCTTAAAAATCTAAACATAGACCTGCCATGTGATTCAGCCATCCCACTCTTGGGTATATACCCAAAGGAATGCAACACAGGTTATTCCACAGGCACCTGAACACCCATGTTTATTGCAGCACTATTCACAGTAGCCACATTATGAAAACAACCAAGATGCCTTACTACTTGATGAATGGATCAAGAAAATGTGGTACTTGTACACAATGGAATTTTACTCAGCTGTGAAGAAGAATGAAATCTTATCATTTGCAAGTAATTAGACAGAACTGGAGAACATTATTCTGAGCGAGGTGAACCAGACTCAGAAGACCAAACATAGTATGTTCTCCCTCATATGCAGATTTTAAATCTAGGGCAAACGCAGCAATGTGGTTGGACTTGGATCACATGATAAGGGAGAGCACATATGGGAGATATAGGAATAGTTAGAAAACCCAAAATATGAAAGCATTTGATGTCCCCACACCAGAGGAACTAATACAGAAACCTTAAAGCGACAGAGGTTATCATGAGAAGGGGATCAGGAACCAGTGTAAAGATCAGTGAGAGATGAATCAACATGGGTTGTAACACATGGGTACACAAAAACAATTTGGGGAATCTTTCTGTATAGCTATCCTTAACTCAACTAGCAAAAACTCTTTGTATTCCATATTATGCTTGTTTCTTTTCTTCAACAAAATTAGTGATAAGGACAGAACAGGATTGGCCTGGAACTGAGGGAGGGAGAGGGGGACATAGTGCAGAGAGGTGGGATGGGTGGAGAAATGACCTAAACAATGTATGCACGTGTAAATAAATGAATTAAAAAATAGAGAATTGATTTTCATTAAAAGGACTTCAGAGGGAAAGAATATGCCATAACCTAGAGGTGAGCATCTTTCAGTCCACCACAGGTTGTCACTTTAGGAAATATAGCTGTCTAGTTTAATACCCAATATTGACTCCAGAGAAAGAAAATTTAGTGTCCTTCCCTGAATACATATATAGTTATTTTTCCATACATCTACGTTACTACATTCCTTTCTTCTTCCTCCTTTTCTTCTTCCTGCTACACTTCTTCTTTCCTTCTCTCTCTCTCTCTCTCTCTCTCTCTCTCTTCTCCTCCCCTCTCTCATTTTGTGACTATGTCTTAATTTGTTGCTCAAGATGGTCTGGCACTTGCTATGTAGCCAAGGATGGCCTCATATTTGTGAATCTCCTCCCTCAGCCTCCCAATTCTTAAGATTACTAGAATTTAGACATATGATACCATTCTAGCCTTTAGTGGACTTAATAATTATCTTCCAAATATATCCAGATTCTATCCTACTGACTTGGATTGGCTTATGTGACTTGATTGAGGAAAGGGGAATTGTGGAGGAGGAAATTTTCCTGGATTATCTTTATGGGCACTAAATATTATCACCCATTTTCTTATGAGACACACAAAATTGAAGAAGACATTGAGATAAAAGGAGACTTTAACCATGGAGATAGATTTTGGATTGATGTAACTAGTATTGCACTATAGGTACTTGATCATTGGCCCCTAACATTATCATTTTCCCGGGACAGTAATACTTTCAATCACCTTTGAGGAAATTCCTGTACAATGTATTTCATAAATATGCTGTAGTTTAACTGTGTTAAAATTTTTTGGTGGTGCAGGGGTTTGAACTCAGGGTCTTGCACTTGCCATGCAGACAGACACTCTCCACTTGATGCATGTCCTCATCCTTGACTGTGTTAAATTCTAACTAAATGACTGATTTCATGTCTTCTTGTTAGTCTCATCATTTTTTGCAGTACTGAGGATTGAACTTAGGGCCTTCACTTGAAACACTCCAAAAGCTCTATTTTTGTAAGGGGTTTTTCAAGATAGGATCTTGTGAATCATTTTCCTGGGGTGGCTTTGAACCACGATCCTCCTGATCTCTGCCTCCTGAATAGTTAGGACTACAGGTGTGAGCCACAAGTGCCCAGATAGTCTCATCACTTTACTTAAGAATCTATCATGTTTTTATTTATTTATTATCAATAGCTCATGCTTTTATTTTGTGCCTGGGGACATTAGAATGAGAGGAATATCTGGTGTTTATGAAATTTTGATGTCTATATTGTGATATTTTGAATTAAGCTTTTTGAAAAAATCCTCTGTGACTTTTGAAGGTAAAAAAAATTATAGGGATGAATTGTTGGCTGACACAGTGTAGCTTGCCATAGATTGGTACTTCTAAGGACTTTTCGTAAATTATTGAGCTAATTTACCTTCCCACTAAATACTTCTGGTGTTCCACAAATAACTTCATTTACTCTGACAATATCATTGGTGTGGAATAGCATTTCATTAACACATTTCTACTTTTCCCTATTAAGTGCCATCAATTGTCTTGTTTTTCGAAACATTATTTTTGATATTTCCATTGAGAGGCTTAATTCATAATTCTTTTGTGGGGATTGATCCTTAGTGTCTCTTCCATGCTAGCCAAGCATAAAGTTTCATACTCAACCCCAAAATAGATTTTATTTTGTTATTGTAATAGTTGCCATTGAAATATGAGTATATTGCTAATTTAGTCTTCTGGAGTGACTCTACTTTTGTATTTACTTTGTAGTGCTTACTATATTCCCTCAAGCACGTAGGTTTCACATTGTTTAATTTGTCAATATTTTCTTTGGTATGTGTTCAATAGCTCCGGATATTGAAGCCCCTGCTTGCTTCAGTAAAAGGTTTATATGCCTCTTTTTGTAATTTACAGATAAAAAACAAGAAATTTCTTTTAGCATTTAATTTGAGACAATAACCCAAACTCATTTCTATTTTGTAACACATTTGACTAAGCAGACAATCCATTCACTATAATGGCAATTCAGAATAAAGATTTATGTGATAATACTTTTATGGATTTTCTTTTCTGAACAATAGAACTGTTGTATTTTTCTTACATTAATTTCATGTCTTCATTATTGTAGCATATTCCTCAATTAAAACAAAATTTGTTGTGGCCACAATTGAGCTGTAAAACATTTTTATTTATAATCACAATGGTACCATGTGCCACAGATCAATTGCCTTTTTGAAGGCTTGCAATTGTCTGCATGATATTGTTAATCCAGAAACACAAATTCAATCTAAGAACAGTAATCTGTGTTAATATGTTTGTGTATAATATGTGCCACTGTTTTGAATGAAAGAGTGAAATATCATTTCAATGGCTAATCCAATATTATTGCACACAATAAATTGGAAATTTCACTTTATATACACAAAATCAGGTTCAAATTTACTTGATCTATCAGCACTCACTTTTGCATTATTTATGCTGCAGTGACTATATTATTACTTGCATTTGCAACATATGCATATAATATAAAATATACTTAAAATAAAAACATAACAAGAATATATCTGATACTGTATGTAAGAATGATTTTGACTATAAAGATACCTAGGGAAAAAGAACTAGAATTCAATATGAAAGGAAGATATGTCCATGAGTGAATGGCCCTTAAGATGGACAATGGCAGAAACAAGTAGACAGTAAAATACCACAAGTTTGTGATGACAGATTATCTGAGACTAAGTTGGGAAAGACAACAAAAAAGTTCCCAAATTACTGTCCCATTTCCTTACTCAATTATCTTAATAAAT